AAATGTCAAAAATATTTGGGAGCTTTTATCTAACCCTTAAAAGATTTTAGGTTTATCTCTTCAGAGGTGGGAATATTAGAGTAGCCAAAAGCCCCATAAAAGAAACAAATCAAAGAAGAAGAACGAGCACATGAAGTTATCAGAAAAAAGTGATGGGGAGATATGGGAGGAGTTGGAGGGGGAAGAGGGCATGGATTTGATCAAAACACCTTATATGCATGTATGAAATTCTCAATAAGTTATTTAATTTTAAAAAATGTATTAACTTAGTGATAGGTAGAGAATGGGGGAAGGGAAGGGAGTCAGGGAAAGATGTCCAGGAAAGAATGTCCACGGGTTGTGAGCTGGGACTTTACATATGGGGGCTTTAGGGTGTGGAATCAGGGAGGGGGAAGCAGGTAGGATTAGGGTGTGGAATCACGGAGGGGGAAGCAGGTAGGATTAGGGTGTGGAAGTGTCTTCTTTTCCTCTTAAGATAAGAGGAACTCTGCTTATCTTTGGAGGTCAGAGGAAAGGCAGTGCTTCTCAGCAGAGTTTGTAGGTCCCTGTTGGGGAGGGGGAGGGGGCTGCTATTGGAACCCTAACACTTAGCACACCACCAATCAAAAAGCTGAGAATGTCATCAGATAGCATCTGAGACCTATAGTAGAAACTCCCTCCCCGTTTTGCTGTGACCTGCCTGCTGAATGTATCCACCAATGTATTTGAAGTGTCTTGATTTATGATTTTTCTTTGTTCTGATACTTTAAAAATGTAATGTAATGTTACCACACAGGAGCATGGAATCTGGGGGAACTTGAATCTGTGTTTTCAGGCCATTGTCAGTCACATTTGACTCCAGAATAAACTATCTCCTATTCCCTTTGAAAAAAAAAAAAGATACTTCTTCTTTTTTAAAAAAAAAAAAAAGAAATATATTTTGTCAGGTACAAAACTATGATTGAAAAAGGAAGTCTCTAAACTTGAGTCTTAATAGATGACAATGATTTTATCCATAAACTATTGTTTTTTAATAGATTATAGACTGTAGAATTGAAAAAAAAAAAAGAGCACTGGCTGCTCTGACGAAGAACCCTGGTTCCATTCCGAGCACCCATATGGTGGCTAACAACTGTCTGGTAATTCCAGTTCCAGGGGATCCAATGCCCTCTTCTCACCTCTGTGGTCACTAACTGACACAGGTACACTTACATCCATGCAGGCAATACAGTCAATCACATGAAATAAAAATAGAAATAATAATTAAATAAAACCAGCTTCCAGGAACCTTTTCAAAGGCAGGAAAATAACGGTTCTTGGCTTTCTCTTTCATCAGGGCAAGGTTTGCTTCTTTGACCCCAGGTGGGTTGAAGGGATAGAGAATAAACATTTCATTCAAATCTGCCACACCTTCTGAATACATATCAATCCTGAAAGACAAAAACAACCTGTGCCTCAGACTTTCTAGATTAAAAACTAATAGGGCATCAGTAGGTTACACCTTACTTCCCCACTAGCAAAGTATCAGCCATTTTGCTGTAATTCTTATTATACATTAACACTAACTTTATTCATTATTTTTTTCTGTTTAAAAAAAGTCTGATTTTGGGGGCTGGAGAGATGGCTCAGCAGTTAAGAGTAATGGTTGCTCTTGCAGAGGACCCAGGTTCAATTCCCAGCACCCACATGGTGGCTAACAACCATCTGTAACTCCAGTTCCAGGGGGATCTGACACCCTCTTCTGACCCCCACAGGCATTGCGTAATACCTACCTACATGTAAGCAATACACTCACACACATAAAATAATAAAATATTTTTAAAATATCTGATTTTGTTATGAAGTACCTGTTGGAAAGTTCTGAGATTGTTTCTTATGCCTAGTCAATTCGGTCAATTTTGTCAACTATATTTTTCAGTTATCAAATTCTTTAGCACCAAGATCTCTGACAGCTTTGTTTATGTTTAGTCTTTTTCTTTCTGAATTTCTCATTCAAATCAGGAATTCTTTCTGATTTTTTTGGTTGTGTTCCTTTGTATTTCACTAAGTATCATTAAAATCATTCTTTGATGTTCTTTGTCAACCTTTATTTGGTTTCCTTTATTTGAGGACTTGCTACAGCTGCTGAGGTCCTTTGGTGGCATCATGTCACCTTGTTTCATGCTTCCTGTGTCCCCATGTTGGTATGTACATTTGATGAGTTGGCTACTTCTACCACATTCTTTTTTGAGACTATCTCGTTGTGACACCTACCTGTCCTGGAACCTGACCAAGCTAGCCTCCATCTCACAGAGATCTGCCTGCCTCCACCCCTGTGTACTGGTATTGAAGGTATGTGCCACCACAGCTGGTATGCTCCAACCAATTTCCTGTAAGAGTGACTTTCATAATCATAGACTTTCTTCTGGGCACTAGTTGGAAATGTTGCATTGCGGCCTTTATTCCAGTTGACAGCGCAGTGTTTGGGCACTCTGTCTCAAACTTCCCAAGAAATAGCTGCTGTTCCTGCCTTGCTTTGGTGGGTTATTTTGTAGAGAAGCATACCAGAAATGTCTAGTTTGAAATTTTGCTCTGATTTCTCCCATAGCTTGCATATTATAAATGCTGCTATGAGTTTCTTTGTAAAAACAGATAAGGCTATATATATATTTTTTTTTCTCTTGAAAATACACCAGGTTGAGCAACGAATGGGTCATTGACATTATTGAATTTAACTGTTTGAGAAACTGCCAGCATTTCATACCAGATTTCATTTTAAGAACTTTTTTAGTTTGTGTTTGTGTATGTTGTATATGTGTGTGTATATACAGATACAAGTGGGCACACTTGTCCATGAATGTGCATGTGGACGCCAGAGGTTGATGTCAGGCATCTTCTGTGGTCTCCACCTTAATGAGAAAGGTTCTCTAAGAAACCTGCTAGACTGGCCATTTCTGCTAGACTGGCTGCAAGCATCTGGGATCTGCTGTCCTTTGCTGTCAGATTGCAGTTACAGATGCATGTTACTGTACCCAGCTTTTGCATGGGTGCTGGGGGGTGGTTATAATTCAAATCTTTATACTCAGGCAGGGAGCGCTTTCCCAAAGTGCATCTCTTCAGCCAACTTCCATCATAACTGGGGGAAATCTACCAGGTTTGGTGACATTGATTCAGTCTAATTACTTTAGATCTACATGATATGAGTCAGGTGACTCCAGGATCTTGGGAACCAGTCTCTAGTAATACTTGTCCACTGGACTAGTCCACATAATTATCTGGTCCTCACTATGCTAAGTTCTGGAAATCAAAAGTCAGCAAATGAAATCCTTCCAGTGCTACAACTTCCATCTCTAGACAGTTCATTACTCTATCCTTTGTAAAGAGCTGCAGTACAGCCTCTGGAAGCAACCACTTGGAGTGATGGTTCCATTGTCCTCCTGAATTCATGGTTGATGATAGTAAACCTCTGTCTCTGTGCTGTGTCTGAGATCATCCTCAGTGATGATCACAGTCACCAGAATCCACCCAAGATACCCTTTCCTCATCTCCATAGGACTCTGCCACAGTTAAACTCAGGATAAATACCAAGGCAATTCATGGCCCCCTGCCATAGATGTGCCCATTCAGTAAAGGACTGTAATCCTTCCTATGGTGTCTTGTTGATAGAGAAACAGAATATCTACTTACAGGGCTCTCTCCTTCATGTCCTTCCCATAGAGGTTGTATTTGGAGGCAATGTAGTTCAGAATGGCTCTGGTCTGTACCAGCTTCATCCCGTCAATCTCCACCATGGGCACTTGCTGGAACATCAGAACCCCATCTTTTAGGGAAAAAAAAAGAAAAAAAAGTGAAAAAGGGGGTGGCGTGCTTTCAAGATGAAAAGAATTAAACATGCAGAATGTTTATTAAGCATTAATAAACATTGCAACATATCCAATAAAATACAATTAATGTTTAAAGGAACTTCTCATAGTTCTTTATCTTTGATTTCTCCCCTTTTTATTCATTAGCTTGCTAATTCATTTCTGTTTTTACTACCCATCCAGATAGATACCAGGGACTTGGGTTTCTTTGTGTTGACTTTTTTTCTTAGATATTTTGGTGAAATTAGGATAGAAAACAATGAGGAGATCAGCCTGACATCAAGGTCAGTTCAGATAGCCAAGTTCATCTCTAGGGCTCTGTGTGCTCTTCTAATCACAGACCGAACACTGAGTAGAAGGAAGTCACGTGTCCCTGGCCTCATGACTCATAGCCATTTCTCTTTCCTGACCCCCTCACACTCTAATCTGGACTTATGGTCATTCAAAACCATCTCATTATCAACCCTTAAAAACTTCTGGGGAATCTCCTGGTCGAGCCAGCAGAGGAAAGAAGCATGCTGGGCTTCTTTTTCCTCCTTTTGCCTGATGGGTATTCCTGTGTGTCCTTGGACAAGAGAGCTCAACTGTAGATAGCATGGGACAGTAGGGAGAAGGCACTGGGGATACTTCCTTTGCAAATACTCAGAGGTCCAGCTCCTTTCCACCTTAAGGGAGTCTCAAATGTGCCTGAAAGAGCCCCCATCCCTTAAATTTGAACTATGCTCTGCTTCCCTATTCGATCACTCTATAAATATACCAGCACTTCCTGGGCCTAAGGTTTTTAGTGGACACCCTCATCTGAGCCCTTTAGAAGCTTAGTCTTACCACTTCTCAGCTTTTCCAAGTCTTCATTAGTGTGTATGAATTTCTCTTCATACTAGAAAGCAGAAACAGTAAATGAGTTGTTTGTTTTTTCTATAGTATTGTAGGCTTTTTGATTTGAATACATCTTCTTGAATACATAGTAAGAGTGAGGTAATACTTCTGAGTTTGGCAGTATACACCAGAATCTGATTATGGATATTTGGAAATTTATGTTCAATCTGCCAAAAAGAGGGTTGTGAGTCACAGCACATATCTGCTCATTCTAAGATTCCCTTCACTTTCACCCTGATCCCCACCAGTAACTATGGCAACTTCACAGTTTGGGAAGGATTTCCCAATAAGGAAACACTTGCCAAATTTGTCTGATTATGGAACTGTTTTATTTTAGGAAACTCTTCATCTCCAAATAAGATCAGAAAAGGTCACTGGTCTTCAGCATAGGATGTGACAAGGATCAACAACTTCCAATCCTCTGTCAATGTGGCCTCCTAATTTATACCCCTGCCCTTGGTGACATGAGTCCTGGATGTTGTACAGTGTTAAATCTTGTAACTACAATTTCTTCTCCTGAATATGTGGGACTCTCAATTTAAAATAAAGATTCAGGCTGGGTGTGGTGGTGCATGCCTTTGATTCTAGCATTTGAAGCTGAGGCATGTGGATCTCTATGAGTTTGAGGACAGCTTGGTATAAATAGTGAGTTACAGGTCAGCCAGGGCTTCATAGAGAGACCCTGTCTCAAACCAAAAGAAAATTTTAGAGTGCCCACATAAAGTATTATTATTATTAGTAGTAGTAATAATAATGATGATGAACTTCATGATGTTGTATAGTCATGTGAGTTTCCATTAAAACTTTAACCAATAGGGCTAGAGAGATGACTCAGCAGTTAACAGCACTGGCTGTTCTTGTAGAGAAACCGAGTTCAGCTCCCAGCACACAAAGGGCAGCTACACAGGTGTGATATGACTCACAGTTTCATTATGACTTTTTTTGTGTGTGTATTAACCTGACCTTACGATCATTACTAAATTTCTGTATCTTAATATTCTAATCTATGAAATGGACACAGATACACGTTCTCTGTTGTGTATAGTTATGAGAAAGAGTTCACTATGCCATTCAAACCACCTAGAAATGTACAAGTATGTGTTAACTGCTTCAGAAGGATGACTTGTCATTAGAATTCTGAGATAACTTGCAGTTTCTTCATACCATCCTTTTATTTCTTTTCTCTTTAAAGCAACTGAGTATTGAGATTAAAGAGATGACTTAGTGCTTAAGAGCACTTGGTGCTCTTTCAAAGGACCTAGGTTCAGTTCCCAGCACCCACATGGTGGCTACATCTGTCTGTAACTCCATTTCCAGGGGATCTGATGCCCTTTTCTGGCCTCCATGAACACTGCATGCATGTGGTACACATATATACATGCAAACAAATACTAATACACATAAAATGAAAATAAATCTTAAAAAATTTAATATATTTTATTTATTATCTTTATTTTATGTGTACGAGTGTATTGCCTGCATGTATGTGAGTGCACCCATGTCATGCAATGCCTCGACGGTCAGAAGAGGGCTTCAGATTCCCCTGGAACTGGAGTTATGGACAGTTGTTAGCTGCCATGTGAGTGCTGGGAATCGAATCCAAGCCTTCTGCAAGAACAGTGATCTTAACCACTGAGCCATCTCTCCTGCCCCTAAATATTTTATGTTTTATTATTTATATTTTATGTGTATGAATGAATTGTCTGCATGTAAGTGAGTGCACCCGTGTTGTGCAATGCCTTGGAGGTCAGAAGAGGGCTTTGGATTCTCCTGGAACTGGAGTTAAGGATGGTTAGTAGCCGCCATGTGGGTGCTGAGAGTCGAACCTGGGTCCTCTGCAAGGGCAGTCAGTGCTCTTAACTGCTAAGCCATCTCTCCAGCCCTGAAAATAAATCTTTTTTTTTTTTAAAAAGCAATTGAATATTGGTGTATATCTACTTTATTCCTTATCTGATTCTAAAAATTGAAAGCCTACCCTGGGTGCAATCACTTTGCTAAGAAAGGCAGCACACAATAGGGCTCTCAAGTTGATCTGAAGGTCTGAGTAGTTGCTGGCATTTGCTCCAAATATAAAAATCAGTTTGGCCAGGCACGGTAGCACATGCCAAAGCGATGCTGGCACTCTGAAGGTTGAGCCAGGAGGATCACAAATTTATGGTCAGCCTAGGCTATACAGCAGGAACTTGTGTTAAAACCCCCAGTCAGTTTAGTTTGTACAACATCTATTTGACTTGATAGGCAGAATCTATCAAAAATAAAGTCAGTGGAAACAATTATGAATATTTCTGTATTTGATGTTCATTTGACTTGTAATCAATCTCACTTGCACCTCATAAAAGCTGTGTGTTTGGGCATGATCCCTTGAGCTCTCCCAGCATGTGTCCCCTCACTTTAATATGGGAACAGAGCATTTTCTATTCATCCATTGATTAGTTTTTATTTGAGCAAGGTCTTAATAAACAGAAGAATTTGTTCCACACTTAAGAGGCAGTTGTCACTGTCCACTCCTGCCTGCCTGTCAACTTTGGTTTTTATTTTCTCTGTACTTTCATTTACTAAAACTTCAAATACTAATTCTCTTGTTATAAAAATTTCTAACATGTTCACAACAAGCACTACAGTACTTTATTGCTCCTTGAACACTTCTCTAAGATTCACTAGTCATCAACTCCACCAGGGTCCTCTCCATCTGTGACTCACCCAGGCCTTCTCTTCAGATAATTTTAATAAATCCTTTAAAAATATTTTATTTTTTTAATTTTATGTGTATAGGTGTATTGCCTGCATGAGTGTAAGTGCACCCGTGTCATCCAATGCCTGTGGAGGTGAGAAGAAGGTGTCAGATTCCCTGGAACTGGAGTCATAGATGGTTGTTTAGCCACCATGTGGGTGCTGGGAATCGAACCCAGGTCCTCTGCAAGGGCAGTCAGTACTCTTAACCGCTGAGTCATCTCTTCAGCACCCCTCCAAATTATTTTAAGAAAATATCAGATATATTGGGGCTGGAGAGATGGTTCAGCGGTTAAGAGCACTGACTGCCCTTGCAGGGGACCTGAGTTCTAATCCCAGCACCCACATGGCAGCTAACAACTGTCCGTAACTCCAGTCCCAGGGGATCCAACAGCCTCTTCTGACCTCCGTGGGCATTGCACAACCCGGGTACACTTACCTACACACAGGCAATACACACATACACATAAAATTAAAAAAAAATTTTTTAAGTTTTTTTTTAAGAAAAGAAAATATCAGATATTATGTATTTATGCTCTAAACACTTCAATATGTTCCTCTAAACCAGAAGAGCTGTTTAGAAAAAAACACAAATACATTATCACATATAAAACAATAGTAATTCATTAGTGTTACCAAATATTACATATTCATATTTATAATTCTTATATAAATTTCATGAATTATTTTTGACTTTTTTTTTGTCTTTTTGAGACAGGGTCTCCCTGTAGCCACAGCTGGAGATTGCTATGTAGACTAGGCTGGCTTTGAACTCACAAAGATCTGCCTGCCTCTGCCTCCCAAGTGCTGGGATTAAAGGCATGCGCCACCACGTCCAGCTTATTTTTGACATTTTAAATCTAAATCTAAAATGGTGTACACATTCCTTTAATTTATTTTACTGTCTGTGTTGTTTGAAGAAACAAATTTATATATTTATTATGTCCTATCTGTTCATATATATTCTAAAAACTGGTAATTTTAATTTAAGGAGCAACTCTTTTGTTAGAAAGGGTCGTGCTCCACAGCACAGGCTCTCTGAACTGGGCAATCCTCCAGTCTTGACTTCTGGAATTACAGGTGCGCACTAAGGAGCACAAACAAGGCCCAATTCTTTAGAGCCCACTCAGCAGAAACATCTCCTGGCTAATGTGAAGAAGTCATTTGATATAATCAGTTTAAAGTCCATCTGAAGCTAACCCTTCTCAGAGCATTACCTCTACTCCAGCTGCAGCCAAGAGCCACCGGACAGATTCCATTCTACCCCGGGCCTGGCTGTAATGAAACAAGGGCTTCCCCGCCATAGTTGTAGCTTCTTGGAGTTACTAAAGATGAACAAATGAATGAATTAATTAGTTCACAGAAGCAAAATGAGCTTTGGGATTATGGCTAATAATACAATCCTACAGAAGGAGCGTCTCTCTGTTCTTAGAAGGTTACCAGGAGTCCCAGGAAGAGCTTCTTGGTCCCCATTGTAGGGCACCCATGACCACCACCCTGAAATTGCATCAAACCATTCTCATTCTGCTAGTGGCCCTCACTTTGAGGACACAATCAGAGCAGCCTAGACCCTACAGTGGTGAAGGATCTGGGAGCATGGCAGGCTTTGACAATCAGAGACATCACTGACCTTGGGAAGGAGCCAGAGTTCCTCCCTACCTCTTTGGCTTTTAAGCTGTTTTGTTCAGAAGTTTCAACGGCTCAGCTTCACCCTGGCTGTAGCCCAAGCCTAATATACCCTTGGGAGAAAGGAGTTTATTTTTCTCATTTCCCCTTCTGGATTGAGTTTTATTTGACCATCTAGAAAAAACATGGTTGTTGCATTCATTTTATATTGGAAGGAACATGACTGGTATGTTTAGTATCTATCAAATAGATAGATACACCCATACAGATATCATGATGTGGAAAAGCTGCCATGCAAATGCTTTTTTTTTTTTGACACTTAAATCTTGGAGCTTTCCCCTATAACCATAGATATCCTTTGCAAACTCCAGGTTCATTATTAATTAGTTGCCTGGAAAATAAACACCATGGGTTCTGGGGAGCATTTTCAAGTTTCAATATCATAGGAAACCTCAGAATGTGTCATACATGGTAAAGGGTGATACTTCAGTTCATTCATGTTGTGGTATGCCCATGTGACTGTCTCTGAGGGTAAGAATTATGAAGTACAGTTAATGGGACTAGCCAATGGCGTTTCACAGCTCACACTTCTACACCTGGGCTGAATCCTCTGTGTTCTAGGACTGTGTCTTTAGCATTGGAGGATATTTACTAACCCACCTCCAGTATTATATTACAGTCCTCTCCAACTCTTAATTATGACAACAAAATTATCTCTAGACTTTGTTAAATGTTTTCTTAGAGCCACATCTTTCCCCAGGTTGAGAACCACTGCTCTTCTCCTAGCTGCTTGGGAGGACAGCACATAGGAAGGAGCCAAGACGCCAAAGGGATGGCTCAGCAGTTAAGAGCACTGGCTGTTCTTCCTGAGGACCCAGGTTCAGTTCCCACTACCCATATGCTGGGTAACAAGTATCTGTAGCCAGTTCCAGGGGATCTGACACCTTCTTCTGACCACTGAGAGCACTGTACACACTTGGTGCACTTACATACATGCAGGAAAAACACACATACACAAAAAAATGATTTTTTTTTTCAAGAAGGAACCAAAGAGAGCACCTCATACAAACACCAGACAGGGTCAGCAGTAGACTCAGGCAAGTTGTATCTGTGACACCCACACAGAAGCAAAGGACTCATTAGAAGCAAGGGTTCAGTTACCAGATTCAAGCAGGGACAATTTCAAATATTTTGGTTGTTCAATTTGTAGAACATACATATGTCTCTTTATATAACACATGTCAAAATGTGTGAAACAAGGGAATCTTCATTGTTTATTTTCTTCTTTCTTGATACTTCCTTTCTAGTTTACATATAATAGTTGATGTTTTGAAAAGTGCCCTTCAAACTTCCTTACTAACCCTCCCTGAACACTTTTCATGTGTCCAGCAGTGATGAAGGCTCCTAGGGAACAATATGCCAAGCTGGTCTGGTTTCTGCCCTAAAGGGGTTTAAATATCTTCCGGAACACAGATTTGAGGACAGTGGAGAGAGAGCAGACCGTACCCTGCAGTGGCTGTACTTCATGGTTCAAGAATCATTGCTCCCTCTGGGAGTGGTTGTGCATGCCTTTAATCCCAGGATTTGGGAGGCTGAGGCAGGTGGATCTCTGTGAGTTTAAGGCCAGCTTGGTGTAGTGAGTTCCAGGACAGCTGGGGCTGCAGGGAGACCTTGTCTCAAAAAGGCCAAAAAAAAAAAAAAAAAAAAAAAAAAATCATCATTGTTCCCTTAATCCAGTCAGAGCAGAGACAGCTCCTGGCTGAGAAGTATATCCGCCCTTTCTGCCCAGGTGGTCTCTTCCTGTGGGGCCAGAATCACACAGCATCTTTATTATCCCCCATGACATGTTTCCTACACACACGTTATTATTGCCCCTCATCATTATCTATAAAAAACAAAACAAAAACAAAACAAAAACCAACCTGGTTATATGGCTTAAAAGATGACTTAGCCATGAAAAGGAGTACTGCTCTTCCAGAGGACTCAAATTTGATTCTCAGCACCCAAGTCAGGTGGCTCACAGCCACCTGCTCTAGCTCCAGGGGATTGGATGCCCTTTTCTGGACTCTACGGGCATCTGCATGCTCCAACACATGTACACTCTCCTTGTGCCTGACTTATACACATAATTGAAAATAAAATAAATTTTCAAGAAATTTTCCACATAGTATAAACAACTTGCCCTCCACACATTTCAATGTGTTCCCTTTAGGCACTACAGGTTCTTTTGAGAGACCTGAGTGACTCTATCTTGGATAAAACCTCCATAGGACTGACCCAGCCCTGGGCCCTGTTCCAAGAAAAACGACAATACTTGGAACGAATAGAGAACAACTTCCCCGCCAATGGTCAATAAACCGGGGACAGGAAAGTACTAAAACTCCAGATATCTTTTCAGCAAATGTCTTTTCAGATTTCCTGAAGCCAGCAGTTTATGGTTTGGCACTGGGGTGCAACCAATCAGATACCTGCCAGGCTGGAGACCCCCTACCCCCCTACTTGCTGAGCTTGCTGAAATAAACCTATAAAAACCTCTGTCTCCCAAAGCAAGGGGTCTCACATCTGAGATTTGCTGAGTCGGTGACAGAGTGGACCCAAGCTTAAGCTTGCAACAATAAAAGAACCCTTGTGTATTTGCATCGGTCGGCTCCTTGGTGGTCTTTGGGGGGGGGTCTCTCGAACTGGGCACAACACTTTGAATTCTGGTTTGCCCTGCACAGCTCCAAGTAACATTTCACATGGTCTCTCTGAGTCTGACGTTTTCCTACATAAGACATTTGTTATATTGTTTTTAATGATGGCAGTTATTCCAAAGCAATACTGACTCCACTTGGTGGCGTTATGTGCTTTGTGAAATTACATACGTGCTACACTTAGGGAATCTAGCTTTTCCTTCAAGGCTTTCTGCATACTGAACTACAAGGGGTCTGAGAATGCCTAGATTTGAACCTACAGCTTATTATCCTAGCCTCTACCAAAGAATGAACTCCCAGGAAGTTGGCTCAGTCTTTTATTGTTGATCCTGCATTATTCATTCTACATGGCTGGTTGCTCAATAGAAACTCATTTCTTAAAGCATTTCCTTTACAGAAGAACAGTGTTAGAAGAAAGCAATAAATCAGTAGTTAGAACTATGCTAATAAATTAGCACGTCCTGATTATGAAATCTGCCATTTTTCTTTTAAACAGAATTATCAAAGAGCAATGGAAGTCTTCTACACAGGAGAAACAAATTGGGTTTTTTGTTTATTTTTGTTTTGTTTTTTTAAAGTTACATGCTTTTACTGGGTAGCCAAAAAGGAATAAGCCGGGTATGGTGGTGCACACCTTTAATCCCAGCACTGGGGAGCAGAGGCAGGTGGATCTTTGTGAGTTCAAAGTCAGCCTTGTCTACATAGGGAGTTCTAGGCCAGATGGGTCTACAGGGAGACCCTGTCTCAAAAAAGACAAACAAAGAAACAAAGAAACAAACTGGGGAAATAAAAGGAATTTGCAAATATGCTGCTAGACTAAGAATGTGGCATTTCAAGACAAGGCTATTACTGTTTTTAAACTGGTCAAAGAAAGAAATCCAGGTCGACTTGCCTTATCATCCTAAAATTCTATACACTTCAATTTTGTGGCACTTCTGAGTCTTTAATCCCCTTCTGGATTGAGTTTTATTTCACCATCTAGATAAAACATAGTTGTTGCATTCATTTTATATTGGAAGAAACATGACTGGTGTGTTTAGTATCTATCAAATAACAGGAAATTTCTCATTTTAATCCTCATTCAAGTATTATAAAAAGAGACTTTGGCATCCATAAAGATATCATGATATGGAAAAGCTGCCATGCAAATGCTCATCTTTGGACTCATCAATATTGAAGGTGCAGGAAGAGGAAGAAGGAGAAACCCAAGAAGAAAGAAGCCTAGGGAGGTAGGTGAACAGAGGGGAGGAGGAAGAGGAAATGAAGAAAAGTAGGGGCTAGGGAGATGCTCAGCAGGCAAAGCCGCTTGCTCTCCAGCCCAAAGACCCAAGTTCCACTCCCAGGTCCCACAGTGGAAGGAAGAGACCCAACTACCAAAGCTGTCCTCAGAGCCCCACACGCGTGCTGTAGCACCCGAACACTATGGCCCCCACAAGCTTACAGTCATACACACACAATAATAATGACAACAATAATAGTAATAATGGTAATAAATAAATTCACAATTAGAGGTCCTGACAACTTCGACCATCTTATCCAATAATACAAGCAAACAGAAGTAAGGCATACTTAGTGAAAAACATAATCGACTACAGTCTAAAGCAACCAGTCAATGGGTTACAGCTTAGCTAATGAATTATATATACTAATCCGATTTTAAAACAAAAAGAGAAGAGAAATAGTCTCTCCCTTTGAGACGGCATTTAAGGTTACCTATGTGAACATTCAGCAAATGCGTTTGAAATCAATTATGAAATCTAATTAGATGCTGACTGGCAGGGGTTGGTGACTGATTTCTAAACTGGAACACTACTTCAAGAGGTGGAAGAAGCAAATGGCATCCAGACCCATGATCTTTTATTTCTCAAGTGAGGCACACAATAGGTGACCCTACCAAATTTAAATCCAAAACAATTGTATGTTGAGTCCTGTATAAATCAATAACTCATCCTCGTAAACAAAGAATATAACTTTCATTTTTTTCCTACATACTCCAGGTTGAAAATGTAATGACATGGTTGCATTTTCAGATGGCTAGTGACACTCATCAAACAATCAAATTCTCTGCCCTTGTTTACTAAATTCCTGGCTATGTTTTTCCTTTAAAAACCTAATAAAGAATATATGTGCAGAAGGTAAGGATGCCTCAAAAATTTCTACAATTTGCAGTACAACCTCCCATACAAAGAAATAGCCAGTTCAACCCATAATTAGTCAATATTCAGAGAGCAGGAAGCTTCAGAATACTTATCCCTGAAGAGGACACCTATTTCAAATGTCTGCCTCCCAAGGCTCAGGGATCATTGTGGAAGGGTATGTGTGTGGAAAGAGATTGTAAGAGCCAGAGAGGGTGGACTACAAGGCTACAGAATCTTCCAGACAGCTGGTCAGTTACTCATACCAACTACACAGCAGTGCTGACAGAATGCACAAGTCCTATGCAAACTCAAACGAGACAAAATCCCAGCATAGACATGGAGAAGTGGGCTTGGTAGACTAAGGCTGAGATCCTAGCAGACAGCCTGAGAAGATGGGTTTGGACCTCCATCGGGATAGTGGCTCAGAGCTCAGCAGAGCACCAGAGACTGCCAGGTTCTGGCCTCCTGCTGGCCTCCAACTACCAGAGGGCCTGAGAACCCAGGAGACAGCCTAACGGCCCCTGGATCCTACCTCCACATGGTGGTGAGCTTCCCTAAATTGGGCCATACCATCCCCCTACCTGGGATTTTGTGAGGCCCCTCCCAAGGCCCCAGAGCAGATCTGGCTTTGGGAGGCTAAGGCTGGGATCTCAGCAGACCGTCAGAGAATGCCAAGATCTGGCCTCCCTCTAATTGAGTGGACCCTGAATTGGGCTTCTGTGTGTACTCCTGAATAGCTGATATGAAGCCATCAGTTCCTTCCAAATTAAACCTGAGAAAACCTGAAACCTGTACCAACCAGCTTTACATAACCAAGAAAGAAAGGATCTAGGTGGCACCCTGATAATACAAACAGAAGCATACTTCAACTTAATTCTCATATCAGAATAATAAACAACAAAAGAAATTCACATGCCAAAACCACATTGAAAGAATAATAAAATGGAAGCCAAAACACTATGTCCCCACCAAAGCCCACCAATCCTGTAAAAGAGTTCTACAAGGAGAACCCCCTAGAGATAACCCAGGACACTGAATTTAAAAGAACAATCATAAAATGATCAAAGAAGTCAGCCAATTTTAAGAACACCTGAACAAACAAATCAAAGAGCTAAAAGAAGATAAAGATAAACTTCAGAATGAATTCACAAAAGAGAAACATTGAAGAAAATTCTTGCAGAAATGAAGAAGGAAGTGCAAAACTCAATAAACCAACTTGAAACAACAGGGGAAAGCCTCACCTCTAGAATGAATGAAATGGAAAACAATACCAACACTGGAGGATAAAGTTGAAGAATTGGACCACGAGTATGGAAAATTAAAAAAACAAAAACAAAAACAGAAATGGAATATGCAAGAAATGTGGGACACCAAGAAAAGACAAAATCCAGATCAAAGGAATAGAGGAAGGAGAAGAACTTCAGGGGTGTTGACTAGATCTTAAACAGGATTGTAGAAGAGAATTTCCCCAAATTAAGGAAAGACATCCCCATACAAATACAAGAAGCACACAGAACACCAAATAGACTGGATCAGAAAGAAATTCCCATGACATATCGTAGTAAAAACACTAAATGTACAGAACAAGGAGAGAATACTGAAAGCAGCAAAAGAAAAACCAGTCACATACAAAGGAAAGCCCATCAGAATTACAGCTGACTTATCAATGCAAACTATGAAAGCCAGAAGAGCCTGGACCAAGGTATTTCCAGTACTACAAGACAATAGATGCCAGCCCAGAATACTATCCCCCGCAAAAATGTATATTATAGTTCAGGGGGGAAGAAAAATCTTCCATGACATTAATAGCCTGAAAGAATACAAGTCCACAAAACCAGCCCTTCAAAGAATACTTGAAGCAATACAGAGAGCAGAGAAACAACTATACCTTGGGGCAACGAAATAAAATAAAAAAGATATAATCTAGGAAATACAAAATTACAGAGAGAACACAAAGAGCAATCAAAATGATGGTAAACAATACACACCTTTCAATAATAACCTTAAATATCAATGGACTGAACTCCCCAGTCAAAAGACACAGGCAAAGTGAATGGATTAAGAAACAAAATCCATCT